TCAACATGAAGCGAGCTATCACTGTAACCTATCAGCCTTGTCTTGTCAGATCGCCTGTAGGTGAGACCACAGGAGACGGTTCCCTGCAAATATCTCAGAACCTGTTTTAGCGCAGCATCATGAGACTCTTTAGGATCAACCATGTATCTACTCGGTACACCAATGCTATAAGAGAGGTCCGGTCTGGTGTGAATCAGATACCGCAAACAACCAATGCTCCTTCGGTACTTCTTCTCATCAGTTGACTTCTCTTCTGTCGCCTTTGAGAGCTTCACATTCATGTCCATCGGTATGTGAGTAGAGTTGCATCCAAGCATTCATGTCTCTGTGAGTATCTTGGTTGCATATCTCTCCTGTCTCAACGTGATTCCGCCATCATGCTGCAACACCTCGATACCCAAGTAGTAGGTCAGTCTCCCTAAGTCACTCATCTCGAACTTAGTCCCCATCTCCTTCTTGAACTCGAGTATCATAGATAGATTAGAGCCTGTTATCAGTAGATCGTCCACATACACGGCCACGACAAGCAAACATCCTCCACGCTTCTTCTGGTACAGTGAAGGCTCCTTAGAGCAGCGAGTAAACTTCAGTTCTCTGATTATCTGATTTAGCTTATCGTTCCAAGCGCTGGGCGCTTGCTTTAGCCCGTATAACGCTTTATATAGTTTGTACACCTTCTCCTCGCTTCCAATTACTTCGAAGCCTTCTGGTTGACGTACATAGACCTCCTCTTTCAAATCTCTATGGAGAAAGGCCGTCTTTACGTCCAAATGGTGGACTTCCCAGCCGTGTGAAGCAGCAAGAGCAATGATGAGCCTGATTGTCTCGATTCTAGCAACAGGGGCAAACACTTCATCGTAGTCTATGCCATGTCTCTGTACGTACCCTTTTGCTACCAACCTAGCCTTATACTTGTTTACACTTCCATCAGGGTTACGCTTCACCTTAAAGACCCATTTTAATCCTATGGCTTTTGCTCCCATCGGTAGATCGACTAAGACCCATGTGTGATTCTTCTCAATCGAAGTAATCTCGTCTTCACAGGCCTGTATCCACACCTTCATTCTTTTTTCCTCTGAGAAATCCCATGGCTCATCATTCAGCGACATGAGAAGCCATTCACACTCTGTTTCTGAAAGCAGAACGTAGTCTGATAGATAATCAGGCGTTCTTCTTTCTCTTAGTGACCGTCGTAGTTGTATCTCTCCCTCCTGCTCATCTTCATCATCAGAGATTACCACTGTATCATCATTAGTAGTACCATCGACTTGCTCTGTTCCTACTTGCTCTGTTCCGTGCTCTGTTTTCTCGATAACAGAGTTAAATTCTAACTCTCTGAGTCCTCTGTTTCCGTGCTCTCCAAGATTGATACTGAACGAGCTACTATCCTTCCCAGCCTCATTTGGTTCGTTCCATCTCCACTTCTATTCTTCCATAAACACCACGTCTCGGCTCACGGTAATCTTGTTGCTCACTGGATCCATCAAGCGATAAGCTTTGGTTCCAGGTTCTGTTCCCAAATGAACCAGTGGCCTGGATCGATCATCCAGTTTCTTTCTGTAGGGAGCCTCAATCTTTGCATACCCAACGCATCCAAACACTCGCAGATGAGAAAGATTAGGCTTACTTCCCTTGAACACCTCGTATGGAGTCTTAGCATCCAAGGTTCTAGTTGCAGCTCTGTTTAGGAGATATGTAACGTGTCTCACTGCCTCTCCCCACAAATAATTTGGAACATTCATGTGCTTCAGAACACTTCTTGTCATCTCCAGAATGGTTCTGTTGCGTCTCTCAACCACACCGTTTTGCTGGGGAGTGTAAGGTGCAGTCAAATGCATTTGGATGCCGTTTTCTTCACAGAAACCATTGAACTCTCTAGATGTAAACTCCCCTCCCCTGTCTGTACGCAACATCTTGATAGAAGCGCCTGCTTGCTGCTCAATACTCACTTTGAGTCCCTTGAATATATCGAAGGCTTCGCTTTTCTCTTTTAGCAGCAATGTCCACATGTAGCGGGAATAGTCATCGATCACCACAAAAACATATCTGTTCTTCCCAGACGTTGGAGGGCTAATTGGACCGCATAGGTCTCCATGTAACAGCTCAAGCTTCTGTGATGCTCGGAATGTGGTTGCTTTGGGAAAAGATCGTCTAGGTTGTTTACCAAGCAAACAAGAGACACAAGTTTTCTTTTCAACAGTCATCTTTGGTATTCCAGTAACCAGATCCTTGCTAACCATAAGTCTTATGTTCTCATAGTTGATATGCCCTAACCTCGCATGCCACTTACTGCAGATATCAGTTGCCTTAACTTGCAGACACAATGCCTTATCAGCTTCAAATACCACCTTGTAAAGTCTGTTTCTCCCTCTGTTAGTTCTCATAAGTAGCTTTCCACCACGATCATAGACATTCAATACATCACCTTTCATCCTAACTTCGCATCCTGCCTCTGTAGCCTGACCCAAACTGATGATATTGCTCTTGAGAGCCGGTATGTAGTACACATCAGTCATTACTTTCTTCACCCCATTCTCGAAAGCAAAACTGATAGAGCCCTTTCCTTTTATGTTGATGCGAGAGTCATCACCAAACTTGACTTTTCCAGTGATAGTTTCATCAAGCGAGGTGAAGTAAGAGTGATCTCTACTCATGTGGTTACTGGCACCATTATCCAAATACCACACGTTGCTCTTGTCAGAATCTGTCTCAAACATGTTAGGCTTCACCTTTTCCTTTCTCCTCATTGAGAAAGACCACCTCGTGTAGCATCAACTCATCTGCCTCATGCGTATCTTTTTCCTTCACTTCGTGTGCTTCTTGCAGCTTAAGCAAGCGATCAGGACAGTCAGAGACATAGTGTCCAACCTTGTCGCATCGGTAGCATGTGACTCTTGACGTATCTCTCACATAGTTGTCTCTCCCATAACCTTGTCTACCACGACCTCTTCCTCTACCAAAGTATCTTCCTCCACGACCACGTCCTCTGTTTTCACCATTGAGACCACGAGTGTTCTGTTGCTCTGTATTAGCGTACATGAGTTTGCTTTGTTCTGCAGAGCTTTCTTCTTCTTCCTCAGTCACACGTTCCTCATAAGCCTTCAACCTTCCAATTATATCCTCAAAACTGGTCGTTTTGAGATCCAAAACTTGCTCCAGTGCAGCCACTATATGTATATATTTCTTGCGAGGGAGGCTCTTTAGAAACTTCTTGACGAGTTTGGTTTCTTCAATTTCCTCTCCAAGTGCAGCAGATTTCGAAGAAATCTCAGAGATTCGACCGGTAAACTCGTCAATAGTTTCTTCGTCTTTCATTTTCAATCGGTCGAAGTCAGCCATGAGTGTCTGCAGTCGAGCTTCCTTGACCCTATCAGCGCCCATGTGTCTGGTTTTAATGGCCTCCCAGATCTTCTTTGCTGTATCCAGTTCACCGACCTGCAGAACCAGAGATTCAGGTATAGATTGAACCAGCAACGCCATGGCCATATTGTTCTTCTCAACATCTCCTCCTTCAGTTTCGACAACCTCCCAAACTTTGTGAACCTTCAGTAGAATCTTCATTTTAATGGCCCATACAGTGTAGTTCGTGGAGTTTAGTATGGGACATTTGATCGATGAAGATTTTGTCTCTTTTTGTTTCGTTGTAGCAACCGTAAGATCCGTCATAGCTTCAATTTGTTGCTCTGATACCAAATATTGAAACTAGTTAATACGATTGCATTTGTATACTCAACAAGATTATAAGACTCACTCTCTTATATAAGCTTAAGGAGAAAACTCACTCAAAACCTCAAGCACTTACAAACTCAATCTTACTCACTTGTACCCTATCACATGCGATGGGTTTATATATTAGCTACAAAGAATATCCTCTACTCAAAGATAATGACTAACTGTTATACAGATAACTCCAAATAACATCTTCAATTTTTATCTTAACAACAACTCGATAAGGACTCCTTGTAGCTTGCTCCGCAAGTCTCTCACTCTTGACCAATCATCTTCATGCTTACTCCAACATCAAAGACATGCAAGATATGTTTAAGACAAAGAATATGACCCTAATATGTTCCTATGGTTTTGTTGACTAAAAGGGATTCCCATTGCTTTATTATATTATGGTCCAGACTGCGCGTCTCAGAGGGGATTGCAAATTGCGACCGAGCTATGTGGATTTGTGACCATTTTATCTGAACAAGACAAAAAGAAATGGGAAACAGTGGGTCGATTTGATCAACCCCCAACCATACGACTTGAAAATTGTGTCTTCAGCTTTGAAAAGTTCAAAGGAATTTTCAGCCTGCAGAGCATTTCACCGTTTAACCCCACCTCAAGGCAAAAAAATTGCATCTGTGACTTTGGATCATTTGAAGAATAAATCACTTTGTGGACCATTCAACATCAACTATTATTCAGGAGAGTTGTCTTAAACAGATTTTGCAGGCTTTTGATTTTATTGAAAAACCCTTTAGACAGTATCATCATTTCTCATTTGTGTATCCACATAGATGGTCTTTTATGGACATGGCTTTGCAACTATGACTCAAAGTACCAAAACTCAGGTAAACCGATAACAAATGGCTCATCACCCTGATCAGCAATCAGTATATACTCGTAATCAACATGAGTCCAACGGCTTAGCTGAACAAATTTTATTGTTAGCCATATTACCAGAATTGTGATTAATTATAATTAATGATTCTGTGTGAATGAAGAACTATCCTGGCTTTGACTGAGTCCCTCGTGGTATTGGACCTTCCAACATGTTGTGAGAGACGTTCATCCATTCCAGAAACGTGAGTTTCCCTTACATCCGCTGCTCAAGATCTGTCTCAGTTCACGGTAATTGTTGTGTCTACATGTTCAAAACTTATCATAATTGTGGTTTTGAATTTCATGACAAGACATCCAGTTTCTGTTCCTTCTGGTGGTCCAACTCTTACATAGTTGTGTTTCCTGTTTTCCTTAAATAAGTTTCCACTAGTTATCAAGCTCTTGTATTTATAAGAACATAAAAGAAAGCCTGGGAAAAGATTTTCAAATCTTTACATTGTTATTCCAATTGTTTATCTTATACCACAGAGACATTTAAACCGAGCATGAGTTACGACTTAAAATGGACTGCAATTAGATCCATGGTTCAAAAATCCTTTGCAAGTTCCACAAGATTTGCATCTAGTGGCTAACCTTTGCGCTTACGATCAATCCACAGCATCAGGAAGGTCCTTTAGAACCTGAGAAGATGTAAAAACGCTCTATGGTTAGCTTCTTACTCATCATATACAATCTCAGACAAGTAACGTTACTGTAATTAGACCGATGTGTGACTTTTGCGTAAGAAAAGTGGTTTTTCTTTGATGTTACGTACGTGGTAAAGATGCCACGAAGCGTAAGCATCGGTTGCTGCATACTGTAACTGCTCCTTTGACAGAGGAAGCGCCTCCCAGTTTCCGAGCCTGATTCTATTCGGCTTAAGGAGCTGCAGAGTAGTCCCAAACGTAATTAAGAGAAGATTAAGATCAAGATTTTTTTGCAATCAACAAGCCCATGTAAGGGTACCTCTTTACAAACAAGTGTCTCAGTTAGTGACGCAAGGCCCCATTTTTTCAAACCTCCGTCGATTTTTTTGTTAGCTAAATCAGAAAGATCATCGACATCTTTGATGGACACTCCATAGTCATGGAAAAGCTTCACAGAGTCACCGTTGATTCCAATACCTACCTATGTACATGTATCAGAACTCGAGCATACATTGTGTTACAACATGAACTTGTGTTCACTTCAAAATATTGAACAAACCTTTACGAGTGTTGAATCTTCAATAAGATGTTGGAGACTCTGTGGGATTCCAGAGTGGATAATTTGCATTACATCACAATAATGATTATCTACACATATCTGCACAACTGCAACCTTCCCAGGGAGAGCACCTAAACAACCCATATTTTCATGATTTATGAATAATTAGATCACGGAAATTTCTCTCAGGATAATATATACTATATATATACTATATATATATAGCAGCAAACAGCAAAGAGTTCCTGAATAAGTATAGTGGCCCCAACAAGGTCTCAAAAATGTCATGAGTTGAAGCATCCATTGTTCAGTTGTCAAATACAATAAATATCATATTTTATATATCTTATTGAACCCGAAGAGATCAAATTACACATAAAGTGCAGGCCAGTGATAAAAAGTTTAAAGTTTCACAGACAGTATCAAGCAACTATCATTACAACATGGATAAGGAGCATAGTAAAAGAGGTATTAGTAGAGCAGTGTAGCATGTGAAAAGCTTACAGCAATGAGATTGGAGATTACTCAAAACAGCAAAAGCTTACAGCAATAAGCTGTTTATGATCTAAGACAAAAGAACATACGCATGAATAGAGATAAAATGGATTTGACTGAACATTGCGTATACTATAAAACTGAAACTCTAACAGATAATCAAACGAGTAGAGACCAAGATAAGACCCTAATGGCATGAACTAAGAAATGTTTTTCGAAAAAAAAAGCAATACACAAAAGTCTGAGAGAAGAAATACCTTTTCGAAAACAGGGTCTCCACTCAATATCAAAGCCAATGAAAGCACGGCCAGAAAGATCTCTCTTGGTATCAAGAACCTTAAGAAGCTGCATTGCTCGCCTATCGACCTCACTAGCAGTCTTGCTATACAAAATCCTTCCTCCAAACCTCATCGCTGGAAAATTCTTAGCTGCAATTAACACAAGGGATAAGTTCATTTTGCTACCCAATCCTTAGTATATATACACACTAGCTTAACAAATCAGAAGGATCCATAGAGAGAGTGATGAATCAAGAGAAGCGCTAACGTGGAATATATTTATATATATAAGGTAGAAATTAATTAACCTCTGCAACGAGAGAGTGGAAATCGCTTAGAGGGTGTGGGAGAAGTGATGGAACGAGGCAATTGGCGACGGATCTGATTTGGATTTGAGGTCGCAGGACGTACGGTCACAGAAGAAGAAGAAGAGGATTGGGAGGAGAGATGGGAAGCCTCGATGGCCTCGATTGCGAGAAGATCCTCCTCTGTAAACTCCTCCTCTCCCCAACTTGACGACATTATTTGTTTTGGGTTACTTTGGAGGGAGGGATATGAATTGAATTTCGGACTCTTGGAAATTTTACTAGGGTCCGATTGTTTTGGACTGTCGTGGCTGGTACTTTAACCAAAAGTGACTTTTAGAACTTTTTATGGCTTTATAACGCGAAAAAAAGAAGAGAATGGTAAATCTAGTATAAAGCCATGGTGTGACTAGTCATCAATCACACTCCTTTTTCTCTTCTTTACGACAAATTATACATACACCCTTATCAGCTCTCCTTTTTCTCTTCTTATGACAAGTTATACATGCACTCTCATCATTCATATTTGTTATGAGAAAGGTTCATAGACATGCACTCTTATTTTCTAAACTTTTTATACACTTCTATCTTATTAAAGCAGAAGCATTACAACTTCTTCTAGATGGATTTTTAAGTTGGACCCATATTATTAATCTATAGTCTAATAACGATATGATATTATTGTTACTCTAATCTAATCTTTACGTAGTTAATTATATTTCACTATTGTTTAGAAAGTTTTCTATTATTTAGGAAGTTAATGATGATTCAGTATCTTATAATTATTTGAAACATAATTATAATTTACCTTCTTATTCTTTTAAAAAATCCCCAGTATATTCTTATTCTTTTTTAGCAGAAAATCTCGGTTACATTTTAAGATCTTGATTTGGTATTAATTATAAAGCACAATTTGATAGATATATACAATCCTTTATGGAATTATCCCTTCTCCAAGTCAACCTACTTTTTCTAAAATCTCGCTTAGATACTAAATCTCTTAATTTGATATTAATTATAGACTATTAATTGGTTTTCTAGAATTGTTGGAAAGTATATTTGTTTTTACGCACTACCGCGTATATATAATGTGTCCATACGTCAAGATCTTTGAGATAATGCAATCCAATAGGTGAACTAATTTATTGAAAGTGGCATTGAGTACGCCTTAGTGAATAAGTCAGTCAAAACTATCACTTGAATAAACATATAGGATGTTGATATCGTCATTCTTCGATAGTGCTTGTGTATTGTATGATTTTATCATTTTCTTGGATTCTCTCTATCTCAGAAGAAATGGAACATTGATAGCCTTTGAGCTCTGAAATTGTAACATTTTTCTTGGGTGTCTATCATTTGTGTGTTCTTTATTGTCTCGTTAAAACCTTGTCAAAGTAAAATCTAGTGGGATAAAAACCATGATAAGGAAAAAGAGTACAACCACACATATTATCATATTTCTTTCCCTAAAAGCAAAATCTTCAAATATGCACTCCAGTCGAATATATCGCTTTTGTGAATTAAGCTTAAAATAATGAACTCTTTTGATTTCTGTATAATATTTATGTCTTTAGACTTTTGGTCTATAAATCTTCTTTTGACATAAACAACAATTTCTTGGTAAATGTGAGTTTCAAGCCAAATATCTTTACATACACTCGTCTAACCATTCACGAGTTATTCAATTATTCTAAAGTTACTTTTATGACTTTCTTTCTTGTCATGTGAAATCATTTTTCAGTCTTAAAAATATTAGTAACTTTCTCAATAGCACTTTAAGTGAAGTACTTCAAGACCAAACATAGACAAGTCTGTTAATATATCCAATGAAAGCAAATTTGTTTTAATTCAATCAAATAATTAGAGTTCCCGGGAACATGATTTTAATATTATCAATCCTTTATGGATTTTATCGTACAGGGATTATAATTTTCCGGTGGGTGATATAATTTAAGTTCTTCCCCTTATTACCAGACTGATAAGGAACTTGAAATAGTTGCATATGCCACATGGTGCTATATCTTTTCAAAATCAATTTCATATTGATTTTTCTTTGGTGCAACGACTCATTTCTATCCCACATTTTTTACACATTTTGTGTATAGACTTATGGTCCAAATACTTATCTCTTTCATAAGAGTTTCTAGATTTTTTCTATTATTTCTTTCTGATTTGGCCAATCATTTCCTTGTGTACATTTTCCAATAGACTTACTTTCATGATACTTTTTCTCATTAATCTTATCAACTGCTACTTTGCATGCATATATATCATCGAAATCGATTTGCTTATCAGTTCCATTTGATTTCATACATGACTTAACTTTATTGAGATCTCTTCATTGTCTCAGGTACCTGAATTTCTTTCAGTCATGTTTAATGTATCTTCTGGAGATCATTCACAAACTCTATTTCCTTGTTTTGACTATTTTCAATGTATGCTCCTTTTCATTTACGAGGATTCTTTTCTTTGGAACCAAGGTGTCTACAACGCTTCAAGCGTGTTTAGCAGTTTGATATTGTTATTCTGGAATATCAATTATTTCTTGGAGCATTTACAGCTGGTATATGTGACTTAATCACTTTTTATATGGGTCAGTAAATGTGTCTGGCACCTTCTTTACTAAGCATTGTAACTGAATTATCCAGACACCTTCTTTACTAAGCTTTGTAACGGAATTATCTTTTGGACGTCTGTTTCACATTCTCTTTAGTCCGAGGATCAATGATAATTCACAACTTATTTTCTTTTCAGCTGTTTATTTTCTTCCCCTTGTGTTAGAAATACTAATTCACTTTTAATATTCATATCGAGCCTTACTTATATCCTTCAGGGATGGATGTAGATTCTTAAGTATCAATGGAGATTCATATCCAACATATATTTCCAACTTCATTTGAAAAATCATCTTAATTAAATCTCGGTGGTGGAGTAATTGGAATGTATATCGCACATCCAAAATTCTTAGATGAAAAATGGTTGGTTTCTAACCCAATACCAATGAAGGGGAGAACTATTGATTGCTTGTTGGCTTGATGCGAGTTAGTGTTGCTCAAAATGTTTAACACTTTTCCACTGAATTGGCTATAGTCGTTAAAGACTTTAAGAAGTGAATTCACCAATATTATAAAGTTGCCTGGTGGGTGATCAGTCCACCAACATCTCCTTTATTCATGCCAATAACTTTATTTGGCTGGTGAAAATCGTATTACTCTTTTTATCTTGTGAGCAAGCATCATATGTCAAATCATTTGATTGAATCTTGTGATTCTTCAGTGACTACTAACATAAATGTTCAATATCTTTTCGCATCATTACTGAACTAAAATGGTCTAACTGGTTCATGCCAAATATTTTGTAAACTTCTGGTTTACTATATATTTATCTTCAAACACTAATCTTTGTGTAATACAATCTATAAAAGGATGTGGCTACTTTCTCTAAAATATTTTTACAGCTAGAGAAATATTTCTTATTAGAAATGTATATAGCAGTTCTTTTGTTTATTGTCTCAACATAAATTGTTTCAAAATCCCACAGATTTACTTTGAAAAGATTCATCAATCTCAACTTTAGTGTAAACATGATCGTTTGGATGTTTCACTTATCATAAAATGTGAGATTCTTTAACTCTTCCCCTCGGGATGATATAACTACATATTTGTCAATCTTGAATTGAATCTCAACATACCCTATTTGGGTCATGTATTATTTCTTATATCCTTCTTCATTTTGAGACTTTATGAAAATATAATACATCAAGGATTGTTTATGTACTCTTCTAAAGTATTCATATATATTTCTCTTTGAAGATTTGATAAGGTTTATAAGACCTTGTATTGTACTCACAATAACTTTCTTTCATCCTTAGATGATTTATCATATCTCTTCTTTATCATCATCTTTATTTTCTCAACTTCAAATGAGAATATGAGTTCTAAAAAAAATCTTTCATCTTTAAATGATTGAATAATATATTTTCTTTATTATCATCTTTATTTTCTCAACT